TGTGCATACGTACGTTTTCAAACATTCTGACCTGATAAGAAATGATATCAAGAACGCCACTGCTGTCGGCTAGTTGTTATATCCTTCAGTGTCTCCAACCAACCAGTTGCATTCTTTTTGACCCTTACCTGGAAGACAGGAGACACCTACCCAATCGCTCTGTGCATTTCTTCATTCCTCGTTTCCACATCATCTGTTGACCACCACGCGGTTTCTTCCAACCTGGAGCCGTAACTGCGAATAAGGCGCTGTGCGGTAGACGATGGCTGGACATGCACAATACGTGTCCTAACCTGTGAAGCCGACTAATCTAAACTCGATGGGACAACGAATTCTCCATCAAATCATTACCAGATACACGACTTACCTCAGAGTTACAAGCTCGCTCCATCCAACCCGTGCCAAAGTACTTAAACATCGGTGGTCAAAAACTTCTGGACGACAAATATCTTTGCGTCAATTTAGGGTCCCGCAACTATACAGTTGAACTGACGAACACTGGCGCAATATACACGACTTTTCAGGTTCATGGAAGATTCCCATAAGAATATCAAAAGACAAACAATATAACGAACAAGCTTGTTTTCGTAATTTCGTCTTCAGGCATTTACAGTTATGTGCGTCTATATATAGTATAGAAAGAAATGTGATTTTATTTACATTTTTACGTTATATATAAACACAACTGTAAATGCCTGAAGACGTAGTTACTTTTCAGTTTCAACGAGAATGTTTCAGTTCTACATAAGCTGCTTGATTCTTGGAAATGCGGATGGTTACTTCATTGACTATGCTGCCGTCACTTGTCACGCAGCTACCTAAGTGGGAAAGACATTCCACCATAGCTAATTCTTGACCGTCAAGCATCAAAGCCGAGCAGTCATATTGTATCACTTTGCACTTTGACGGTGCAAAACGCATGCCGACCGGGGCGACAGAACTTGCTAATCTGCCAACTGCTCTTTGTGCATCCTCCATACATTCGAACAAGCTTCAGCTTTATTGATTAGTGCAATCGCTTCACCATGCTGACCCAGTGAGCGGCCTCATCGTCCCCTACAGTGCGAAAGAAATACCTCGAGGACAGGTTTGGCACTCTCAGGTGGTGTATAATGCTAGGATCTTGAATTGATTTCTCTAATACGCAACAGACATCGATTTCCAAGAAGCGCCAGGCACGCTTGCTGATCCACCTGTATCAGAGTCCTCACGTTGAAGAAGTTGGTGAGGCTTCAAAATCTGCACTTTATTTACAGGTGAACTATTCACAGTGCTATTTGTCAACGACCAACTTGTCTGAGGGGTTGTTACGTGCCGGAAGATGTTAAAGTGAGGGTTGGGTACGTACGACAAGGAGTTAAACAAAGGTTGGGACGTCTGAGCAGTAGCCCACTTATCACTGCCCACCCCGCTCGATGCAATTGGTGGCGCGATCCTAATTAATCTGCGCGACGACCGATGCAGTATGAAATTATTTTAGTTTGTGTTTGCATTGGAGTTTGATGGACGGGTGCTGCCAAAGTGTCCAACCACAGGAAAACAATGAGGGTTCTCATCCAATAACTTTAGGTCTCACATAAACTTAACCGCAAAGCAGCGGTCGAGGCGTACTGGAGGCCCAATAACTTACGAAGGGGAAATTCGTCGTGTATATGTCAAATGAAGCGTGAACTGAAAAGCTAGGAAGCACTGGACAGCTGTTTCGACCTGGCTGGGTCTCATCAGCAGTGCGAATCCATCGACCCAACTGGATCGATTACTCCAACACGCTTTACCGACGGAGACGTCAAATCAGGTCAACCCCCCAACCTGGGCCCTCACTCCGCCTTACTCGCTATGTTGCGGTCAGGTTCTTGTTAGAACTGAAGGATGTGGACGAGAACCATAATCGTCCTACTTACTGGTTGGACATCCTGGCAGTACCCGTCTATTAAACTCTAATGCAAACAAATAAACAATAATTCCATACTGCATCGGTCGTCGCGCAGGATAATCAGGACCGCGCTGCCCATTGCAATCGAACGGGGTGGGTAGTGATAAGTGGGTTACTTCTGAGACATCTCAAACTTTTTTAACTCTGTCTTTTATGCTCAACCTTCTCCTTTTGCCCCCCCCTCCGGCCGATTTGTAATCTTGCCCCGAACAACGTGTTCGTCACTCGCCAAGATTCGTTGCCAAGAAGCACCGTAATTGGTTGCCCACCACATACATCACAGATTCCGAAGCGTCATCATTTACTGAATCGGAGAACTTTTAACGTGGAATTTTGATGCAAGCAGGTCTTGTGCACACAATGAACTCTTTGGGGATTGGTGTTTGCCGCTTATCTGGTTCCCGGTTGAAAATTTCTGGGGTCTAGCGACTTCGGGTTTAGGCGTATGGAACGGTATTATTTAATATCTCCGAATTACCGTCAATTGTCCTCCGTGTGTATGCTGATTTCGAAGTTCTGACAGTCTCAAAACCTAGCGAAACAACGCAAGTGTACTTGGTCACCATTTAGACTGTTGTCATCCTCATTCCAACCTGGAATCAGTAACATTTTCTATTGTAAATCAGTTTAACAGGGTCGTTGTTAGGATCCTCTTGGTTCTCCCATTTGGTGATCAGTTTTATCATAAAGTTGGATTAATCTAATTTGAATACCAAAACGTTCGAAGAAAGACGCGGTGGTTTTTCTAACACTGTGCTTGCTACGTTGCAGAATATCTTCATGATGGTGATATCTGTGCCCGGATCGGTTTTTCCAGTGGCCTCGGATTTTTTTGGTCTTGACACATGAATTGTTGACGCGGTAAACTCCATTTGCGATTCATACACTACTACCAAGAAAAAATTGCAAACGGTGTACGGTGAAACAAAAAAAATTCTGTAATCTTTGTTTTCCATGTTTAACTGTCTCACCCACTTTTCACCATGTTCTGTATCCTAATCCACCTATCCCCTTTCAGTGTCGTTGTTGTTGCGTTGGGACAATGCTTGTTTTCAAGCCGGTGGTAAATATATATATATACTACCAAGAAGCGACAGCTGTCAACATCCATGCGACATATATGCGTATAATATATAATCAATCACATAGAATTGACAAATGTACCACAACATTATGGAGAGCAGTACAAAGGGTTCAAATACTAATCAACGAAGATGAACCTTGTAACAGGTGCTTCATTAACGTCGGTTGCCAGGGCTATTTGCTCGTGCCTCAGGCGCTGAGTTTTGGGTAACTGCGGTCGTCCACTGGAGCAACTAGCTGACCTCCACAGATGCATAGATTGCGTTGACTGGGGCATGTGCTTCGCATGCCACCAAATAGGTTGCCACGACGAGCGATGTTTGCCGAGGCAGGTAGTGAATGTAATAAAGCCATGGGTGGTCAACCTAAGACTTGGTACGAGGGTATGAAAATCCTAACCAGGATGCTCGGTCACATAGGTCCTGTTAGGTTCCCTGGATGGGGACATCGGGATAATCGTAACCGGTGATTAGAGACATTGAGTGATATGGCTGGGTGCCGTGAACAATGGTGTTCGTGCATCCTCTCAATTTCTTCGCAACCTTAGTCCACTGAAAATTTTCATTTTCTCTTCGACTACTTTCAACTTTTCTGTCTTTCTTCTATTCTTCATCCAAATGGACAGCCAAAAAACCGAACCCGAAACCGGCGCACGAAGGTGCATGGTTAATGGTTGTAGAAACTGAAACTGTGTCTGAAGCCATAGATGTTCGCTGTCCTTGGGACCCCAACCCGGGAATCTAGATTGCCCTACCACTGGTATTTTTAAGGTGGACGCCTTGATCATTCGAGTCCATGTTATTTTTATCTACCTTGTCACCGCTTCCAGTTAATGTCGGCTTGCGCAAATATCACACGATGGGGCAGTCGTTGAGCCGGCATCCGCAACATATGTCCTAGTCACCAGTCTCCGGAGTGAGTAGTGGGATATTGGATCCTAATCTGGTTGTCTCCGAGTCTACTAAAACCGCTTGCTAACTTGCTCTCTTATCACACCTGAAATCTATGAGCGCAACTCATTAACATTTCATTTCTATAAATCCCATCCGTGAGCGACATGTGCTGAGCTGTTAAATTGTGAGTACCTTAAGCAACCTGGTTTGTTTTTACTACTTTTAGTACATTGCATAATTGCATTCGAATAAATTGCTTACTGAATCTAGTTGCAAATCGTCACAAACCACGGGACACAATAGTTTCTTTGCATGTGACTGCTTTCAGGCACGGATATTACGCTTGTTGGATATTCGATGGCCGTTGGTGTCTCGCTGGCCGCAGCCGAAGAGCTGGCGAAAATAGGAGTCAATGCTGAAGTGAGTAAACCAATGTCATGTCCCTGTACTGGTATACGTGTAATAAACAATAGGTTTCGTTAATAGTTGTTTCAGGAATTGCTTTAATTGATTAAAAGGAGCGTCGAAGGTAAGTAATACCACATCACCTCACTCGTGGGCATACACTACGATAGGGATACTAACAAGCATCTCTGTGGTCTTGGTGTCGAGTAATACAATCACGTAACAGTTTCAAGTGTGCGAAAACCTAACCACTGGTGCTTAACTGGTAACTGTTGTTATTTGCGCTCATTTATGTTTATTTGATCAGGATTCTAGCTAATGGAATTTATTCCTGTCCATTGATTTGCTTCCCTGAAGGATAACTTTCAAGGTCTCGAAATAAGACAGCTTTCTCACAAATGTTTATTGTTATCCCAAAGAGCATCCGTTACTGCGGTCGGTGCGACGACGCGAGGCTAAGTTAGGTGTAGTTGTTTTCAACAGTACGGATAAAATGTTTCAACAGACTTCTTTTTCGATAATTTCTTGTTGAATTATAACACAGTAACCTCGAGTGTTTGATGTAAAATGCCTTTTGTTTCTCTAACTCATGCTCATGTCTTCCTTCGATTACAGACCGTCTCACGATATTTTTTATCTTTAATCTACCATCTACCCGGTTGCTGCGCAGGTAATAAACCTACGATCACTCCGTCCGTTGGATGAGGAAGCGATTATCAACTCTGTGAAGAAAACTCACCGCTTGGTTACTGTGGAGGGAGCTTGGCCAACATGCGGAATCGGGGCTGAAATATGCGCACGCATAATGGAGAGTAAGTATTAGAATATGTTCCTCGGTGAGATTGTTTTTGTACACTGTCTTCTAGTTATTATAAGTTTTGTTTCTGTTGTCACTTTATTTTGTGGGCTATTTGTAATGATGTGCTTTGTTGTTTTGTGTATTTTTCTGAATGTTTGCGGTTGCCCCTATCGTTTTTCAATGACTACAACAGGAAGCAGAAACATGAAGCGTCGAATAGTTAACAGAAGTGTGCAACGCATTTGATTTTCGTCGTTCATGGTGCATTGAATGATGAGATAAATTATCGCTTATAATTTTTGGTTGTTGACGTTTGAATTTCGGATTCGAATGCTAATCACTCGTCTGTCCTAGTCTCCTTCACGCACCTAACTGTTTTTTCCCTCTTGTTTCCAGGCGAGGCATTCTTCTATTTAGACGCTCCAGTTTTGCGCGTAACCGGAGCCGATGTACCGATGCCCTATGCAAAACTTCTAGAACACGCCTGCATTCCTGAGGCGCACAATGTGATAAAAACGGTGAAGATGATGCTTAATATTCAATAGAACACAATTTCGACTTCAACAAATTCGGTTACCTAGAGCATTCGAAAGCCACCAAAGCTAATCTTCACTGAAATTTGATGTGAATGGCAGGAAATACACTTGGGCGCTGTTTACGAATACCCAGTTTCTTGTTTTACTTTGGGTAGGCCTGCAAGTATCCAATCACTTGTCTTAGTCTGTTCTCGTGATATACTTCTAATATATGCTTTCCAAAAGCCGTTCCTCTAGCATATCCCTTCATTTCATTGTATTTAATAAAATTCATTGACTGAAGGGAGTCTTTTTAGACCAATGAGTTCGGGTGAACGCTGAAACGGTTTCGTCAATAACTCGGGATCACAACCTTAAGTCGCATGACCTCTTGGTGAATAACATCGAGATCGAAACGCGCATTGTGAGTGTTATATCAGTTCAGTTTCTACAACCATTAACCATGCACCTTCGTGCGCCGGTTTCGGGTTCGGTTTTTTGGCTGTCCATTTGGATGAAGAATAGAAGAAAGACAGAAAAGTTGAAAGTAGTCGAAGAGAAAATGAAAATTTTCAGTGGACTAAGGTTGCGAAGAAATTGAGAGGATGCACGAACACCATTGTTCACGGCACCCAGCCATATCACTCAATGTCTCTAATCACCGGTTACGATTATCCCGATGTCCCCATCCAGGGAACCTAACAGGACCTATGTGACCGAGCATCCTGGTTAGGATTTTCATACCCTCGTACCAAGTCTTAGGTTGACCACCCATGGCTTTATTACATTCACTACCTGCCTCGGCAAACATCGCTCGTCGTGGCAACCTATTTGGTGGCATGCGAAGCACATGCCCCAGTCAACGCAATCTATGCATCTGTGGAGGTCAGCTAGTTGCTCCAGTGGACGACCGCAGTTACCTAAAACTCTACGCCTAACTTCGGCATCGCTCTGCCGGCTGCCGAACCAGATTCGTGCAATCCTACATAGACAGCGGTGGTCAAACACCGAGTCTATTTTTATCCGGCCTCTTTAATGGTCAAGTTTTTGCGCCGTATAGCCGAACTGCTGCAACGTACACTAGACCCTTCACGGACAGCCGCATGTCGCGACGGCGCCACAGATGTCTCAAGTCTTCAAATGCTAACCTACCCTTTTATTTATGCGAGCTGACACTTCATCCGTAATGCGTCCACCGGGTGAGATGTGGCTGCCCAAATAGCAAAACGTATCCACTTGCTCTATTATTTCCTCAGTTAGAGTCAGGCTGGGTGCTGAACCAACCCAGTCTTTTAGTAGCATTTGACACTTTGAAGGTGCAAAACGCATACCGAACTCGGCTACCTTTGTGCTCCAGCTATCCAGAAAAGCTTACTGCATCTTCACTTAGCAGCACAATGTCGTCTCCATACTCCAGATCAGAGAATCTGCCCCCTGTAGGTGAATCGATACCGCTGTTCTCGCACGTGGATCGGACTTTTCATAATCAAATCTATAACAAAATTAAATAGAAAAGGAGAGAGAGAGTTCCGACAAACTCGGGCGAAAAAGGGGCTTTAAGGCCGGACTCAGCGTCGGCCAGTAATACCTGCGATAAGTTTACGGATGTTGTTGATTCCTCTGTTGTTTTCGCAGGAGGTTCTGTCCCCTTTCTTGTAACTCTGTAACACTGAGCCTCCATCCGTAAACGCCGCTGCAAACAGACAAAGTGGGCCAGGGACCGTATACCCTTTGAGATAACTTATTTTCCGAGAAACTTCTATTTCAGATGGAGGACTAGCATCAACTGGGAGCATTTACCCAGTCGAGGTGAGGGTGCTAGATCAGATGTCGATGGGAGCCAGTAGAGCTGGACCTTGAAGTGTTCAGCCCATCGATCGACACGTATACAGAAGTCTCTGTTGGTGTCTACCAATTTCAGGCATCTATAGAGCCTCGGCGACATTCGCTTGTCTACAGCTTTTTGGCTGGTGCTGTTAGGTGGTGTAGGCTTGGCGGAAATCCAGAGTTTCGGGTATGGACTACTGCATTCTACGCTGCATTGCACACATCGTCTAGCGGAGCAGCCAGACAATGAACGCCGAGCCTAGACGCAGTGTTAGGCAATCGTGTATCATGTT